TTAGTTCTTAAAAATATTAATTAAAAAATTTTACAAAGACAATCTGTATGGCATTAACCCCATATATATATGGAAAATGATTTAAAAATAACTTTTTTGTATTATTTTTTTGTACAATTTTATGCATTATTTAAATTATTAGCTATTTTTATTCGTTTAAAACCTATAATATTGATTGTATTTACTTATTTAATAACATGTAATTGTATAAAAATGTGCTAAAAAAATTATACTTATATTATCACCCATATATAGTCTAAACTTTTAAATGTTATTTTTTATAAAAAAAATTACCCTTGTTTTTTAAAATTAAAAAAACTAAATTTGCGCGATTATATCTTGGTTCATATCTAACACTTGAACTTTATTTTTAATAAATTATTATATTTAAAATTAGAAATTAAAAAATAATTTAATATATATTTTTAATTAATTATTAATACAAAAATTTATAATTAATAAATACCTAACGAGATCAAATGTATATGAAGTGTGCAAAAGCACTAGTATCATTCAAATTTAATTGTAAAAGGTTTAAGCCACGACTACATAGACATGGCTAGGGGTCCTATTAATTGGAAGGAGCTGGAAGTACTCTGCTCATCAGATCGACAAAATTCCTGCTTGCAATTGTTGGCGATATAATAGATGCGATTTAGTGTCTTCAAACAATGTCAACTTCAAACTAGACAGAAACTAATAATGTACTCAAAATACCAAAACTGAAAAATGTATGACAGATGAATAAGAAAAATGATCCAAAATTATTTTTGTACCAGTTTACTTATCATTTAAGAATCAAGTTTTTTACTCAATTAAAATCTATGATATCTTATATATCTACTTATTTAATTATTATATATAAAAGTCATATAAAAAAATTATTGAAAAAGATTATCTTCGTATCATTATTTGAGGAATAATATGTAAATCAACATTTACAAGCCTATAAGAACTTTTTTTTTTTTTTTCTGGTGAATGATCAAGACCTCTATATATGCTTTTCACAATTGTAAAGAAACCATAATCGAAGCTAGATGCTTCCACACTTAACTACCTAGTGAAAGAATGAACAAGGAAATTACTACTTTCCTATGAATGCCTTTTCAGTTATGAAATGTGTAAAAGAATTGAATGAATAGGAGATGCTATCTATGCACCCAATCCTGTTTTCTTATAGTCCCCTGAGGGCAGCTAGCCGAGATGCCAAATCGTCATAGTCTGGTAGCTTAGGATGCACATGGCTGCGTTGCATATCTGGCTGCAACGAAGTTGATCGAGCATTCTCCTTTCTTCTGCCGTCTGATGTTGTTGAGTCAGTGGGAAGAGAAAACACTCTGATTGGTACAGAGCCCAAATTAACAGTTTTAGTATTTCTGCTTGTGGTTGCATCCTCGGTGTCTTCAGCTCTTTGTTTTGCAGGAGCTTTTAAATTTGCTTTCCAGCTATTTGATGGTTCATATGGTGATTTTTTATTGCTGTAGCGCATCGGTAGTCCATCAATCATCTTCTCCTCTTCATCTTCCGTGATTTTCGAGGGCATTGTCCTTCTTGCTTCTCGAGGCACTGCATCATCATCATCAACACTGCTCAAATTGTCACGATCTGATAGCCTTGAAGGTCTTCTCCTAACTGATCTTGGGTTTGGCTTGGTATCCACAACAGAATCATCTTGCTTGCTTCTTACCTTTTCATCAGCACCAACCCTCTGTTTTCTGGACTCTGTAGTGCTTACTTCTTTGGCAACGTTTGTCCTGACATATGGTGCAGGAATAGATCTGTAGTCAAAAGGCTTCCTTTTTTCTTCATCCTCAGAAGCACTTCCAAATGAACTTGAGGATGTCTGTGACGAATCTTGGTCACTGCTGATACTTCTGCTGATTTCAGTCACTTCATCGTCACTGCTACCATACAAATTGTTTTTAATATCTGCACCCTTGTTACTTCGGAAAGAACCAAGGCTCCTTCCATTCCCTTTTGGCTTAGTATACTCCTTATTCTGACTCAGTCTGTTCACTTCATCATGGTTGCCTTTTCTCTGGAAATCATCATTCTTGCTTTTATGCCACCTGTATCCAGTGTCAGAATCATTTGAGGGGTTGTGCCTGGTCTCAACCTGCTAAAAAATCATAGTACATGTCATGTCCCCTGAAGCATCAGCAGTTAATTATGGCACGTTAACATTTTCTAAGTTGCTTTTAATTCAATGGCTTACCTGTTCAGGTGGAGGTGGTTTGAACAGTTTCTGTTCCAAAGCCTTAGGATCCCATTCTAAAGAAAACTCTTCTGCTATATCATGCATTAACTGAAGTCTCATATCCTTCGTTGGAGGCTCTGCCCTTAATTGCACAGCAAACTGTACACAAGAGACTAGTTATATTAGTACTAGGAAAAAGAAACCCCGGAATGCTGATCAAAGAATTTATTCAACTGAGGTTATGGATTGTCCACCTCTTCATTTACAAATGATTCCAGGGCATTCCCATATTTCTCAGTAAATTGAGATCTCAGATCACATAGTTCTGTCAAATCAGCAAATCTCGCTGCAGCATATATTAGAGATGCCACAGCCTCTCTGCAATCCTTCGGGCATTCCCTGAAGAGAAAGAGATGTTCACGTCAAACAAAAGCAGAAGACTTTAAAAGTACAAGAAATCAGAACCACAGTACTTAAAACGTCTATTTACCTTTCTTTTTGCATGAGTGACAGGTTTTTTTGGATGCAATCGCAAAATTGATCAACCAATTGATAACAGTCTGTTTTCTTCTGCTCAATCAAAAGCGCTTCAGTCTGCAACACCATTCACGAGAAATTAAAAACTTGGACAGGCTATGATACCACCAATGTTCTAGGTGCCTAATTGTAAGACATCCAATATTCCAATCCAGTCGCGTTAACACTGTTACCTAACCAATTTAATTCATTTCAAATTATACCTATGCATACTAGCAAGAGCAATAAGGTCGATGTACACCAGAGACCTATCAATTACATAATTTGGTTCAAGCTAGAAATGGTTGGTCCAAAAACTCAACTCATATATCACAGATTGCGGTAATAATGAGGGCCTGAAGTTAATAACTAGCGAACAGACAAAATATTTGGTAATTGGTTTAAGTCCCCATCAGTTCTAAACGAAATGACTTCTAAAACCAAAATAATGAATGCAGAGATAAGAAGGAACAGAGATCACATGAATGTTAAAGTTGCATCTCAAGCACGAGAGGGAACATGTGAATCAATTACAGCAATCCAAAACACGTCCCCACCAAAAATGCTTTCTTTTTTGCTTTTATATCCATATGTGTATGCATCCTTCATGAAGAAGTGACTACTCATAAAGGTTAGTCTAGCAACAATTTTAGGTAATTAATTCAATGTTAAAGTATTGCTAACTTAATCCGATACCATGTGTTTTGAATCTATCCATCTTGAAAGACAAAAAACAAAAGATTCCCGATTAGATATATGTCCTGTGACCATTATAGATGCTTGATCCTGATAGCACATAAAATTTACAAAATTTTGTAGAAGAAGAAGAAGAAGAAGACATAACATGATTGAGAACTCCAACTGATCAGCTAATCAAAATTAAGAAGTGAGTGAATAAAATAAAATAAAAAACAACATTGTTACCAAAAGCATGAAATTTTTGCGCTGTTTAAGATTTTCCAGAAGTAAATAGAAAATGAAATGAAAACGTAAAGGAAGATGCAAAAGGAAAGAAAAACACAGATCCACTACGAGGTGGAGGAAAAACAGACTAATTTCGGCATTTCAGGCAACAATATGAACCAAATGAGCATATATGAAATTGAGCAGAAAAAGGCTGAAGAAACCAGAAACTTACCCTGCCATAAGCTTCGTAATCATGACCGTGCTTAAGAAGATAAACAACATCATTCTTCAAAATTTTCTGCGACGCATTCCTTTTCCTCATAATCATCTCAATACGCAACTTCGTGTATTTTATCGCTGATTTGCTGCAGCAACGGAACAAAAATCCCCAAATTCACTCAATCAAACCAAAACCAAACACAAAATCCAAAAACAGAGCAGCACGAAACTAACCATTTCGTGTAGAATTTCGGCTTCAGTATTCCGTTAAACATCTTGAGACCTTTGGGCGAAGGACAAAACCAGGAACTTATCTTGACAGAAAGAGAAGGAAACTAAAATTCCGGTTAAAGAAGAAGATCGATCGTCACGGTTCGGAGTGATTTTATATCAACTCAACATGAACTAGAATCTCCATTTTTCTAACACCTTGAAGCAAAGAAATGGAGCAGTTCTTTTCCTGAGAAAGAGGCAGGAATTACAGAAAGATGAAAAAAAGGGGAGGGAGAAAACACAGAAACGCAAGGGAATTCACTTTATAGGGAGGGAAAGAGAAGCGGGAGGGTCAGTCGGGGAATCTTGGAGAGCTCGAAAGCAAGGAACGAAAAAGGATGGGGAAAAGGGGTGAAATTTTTGCCACGTTGGATTCTCATCTTATTGGTCAATAGAAAATTTTTTCGCGCGTTTTTCAATTGTATGATGAAATTAAAGTAATTACTTTAATATTAGTATAATCCCTGTTAATTTAACAAAGTTAAACAAAGAATAGTAAAATAATTTGACTCTTGTTGACGCCATGAGTGACATCTCACATGACAATCATCTAGAAGTAGTTAATTTCATTGAAATGTTTTACTAATATGGTAACATAGACTACGTAAATATATATATAGTTTTTTATTGAAATTATTAAAATTATTTTAATTTACTAAGAATGTTTTTAAAATTTTAGTATTTAAATTATAAATTTTTTATACAATTAGTATTGAAAACAAAATCTTATTAACTCAAAAAAATGATAAAGAGATAAACTTTTAAAGGGATAGTTATCTAATTTAAAATATTAATTGTGTTTTTGTGTAATTTCTAATGAGACTTCTTTATAATTTTGTCAATTTAAAAAGAGACAATTATTAAGTAAAAGTAAAAAGAGTATTTAACAAATAGGAATTTTTTAATCTATACTCTTAAAATATAAATTAAGTTTCATTTATTATAATATCTATAATTAATTTTACATAAATTTTTATATAAAAGTTAAATAAAATATAATATAAAATGTAAAAATATAATATAATACTTTACTTCGAAATCTATAAAAAAAAATTGTGAATCAAATATAAATATTTATGCAAATTAATTAAAAATACCTTAATTAATAAATTTTAACATATTTTTACAATACATATTAGGTAAACTTTAACAAATATTATGGTTCAAGTTAAACACTAACAATAAATCATCAAAAATGTTTTTTTAGCGGCTTATTCTACTTCTAAAAACATTAATTCTGAATTAATAAAGACAAAAAAAAAAAATCTTAATAAGTGGATTTGCGTGGAACATGGTAAACTTGTTGATGAAGTTTAGGACTTCAAGGTAGTACATAAGTCGCGGGGAACCAACCCCAGTTAAGTGGCAGATTTGTGGTTTGTGGAAATTCTTTTGAATTATTAATAGCTCTATCTAACAGGCAAGGGTCAATGCGGGCCCGTCGAGGAAGGCCAGCTTCATATTTCCTTCTTTTCTCATTAGTGCATACCCACTCTATTACACAAATCATGTTTTTCTTTACCCATTTTTAGCGTTAGAATTAGTGGAAGAAATCTCCCTAATTTTTATATTATTTTTAGTATAATTGCATATATTATTTAAATAAATAAATATTTATTTATTTATTTAAAACATATGATATTAAATGTATTTATTTATTTAATAATATATAAAAATTATTTAAAAAATTATATAAAAATATTATCTCTATATCATTTTCTATCTCACTATTTGATAGCATAAAAATCTAAATTTTATTTTTTATTTGAGATTAAAGTTAAAAATTTTAATTTTTATATTATTAAATAATTAAATTTTGTGATGTATCAAAATAAAAAAAAATTAGTGTTAAAAATTTCAGTCTCTTACATAAAATCATGCTTAACTATTTAATCAAACTTAACACTCAAGAGAAACCAATACTACTCTGAATAGAAAGAATTGTTTTTTAACAGATATCTAAGTTATACAAAAACAATAATTTTTTTAAAAAATATTTTTTTATCTAATTCAATATTTAAACTTGAAAATTTTAATTTAAAGTTTCAAATATTATTGAGTCACCTGAGTTGAATAAAAATAATTGTAGATTGCTAGAAATATAAATTCGGAACATTCCCATTACCTATTTAAAAATAAATAAATTCGGAATTATCTAGACTTAAGACGCATCAGCGTTAGTTACTGTTAATGGATAGCATCAAAAAGAGGCGGGGAGACTGGGAGAAGTGTCCACG